TCAGGCTGCGGGAGGTGCCGCGCCCGACGGTGAGGAGCCACCGCCCGGGCCGGGTCCGCGGGGGGGCTCCTCCGAGGGGACGGTTGCGGCGGTTGGTGTCCGGCGCGCGGAGACCTGTGAGGGGGCACGCGCTGAGCCCGGCCGGTGGGGCTCTCCCGGGGGCGGGCGGGTTGGTCGGTTCCCTCCCGGGCGCGTCGCAGCCGCGGAGCGTCTCCGCCCGGCCCGAACGGGCGACGCGCCCACGTCCCTCCGCGGGTAGGTCGCCATTTCGTGCGCTGGCCGGCGGGGGCGAGGGCCCGGCGGGGGCGGGCGGCGTGTGCGGGGGAAGGAGCTGTCTGTGCTGAAGTGCCGGGTTTCGCTCTCCCACCTTTATTTTTCCATCCTTTATTTATTCCCCCCCGCCCCCCGTCCACCTTCCGCGGCTTTGCTTCTGGCAGGGAGTAGCAACGGCGAGTTTATTTAGGTATAAAATAGCGAAAATGTGGTTATTCTGCTCGCCTATGTCCTCCTTTTGCTGCATTTCTCCCGATGGCGTTGGAGCCTGAGCAGCAAATACACCTGCTCTTTTTGGTTAAAAAAAAAAAGTAATAATTAACTAAATCTTCAGCCACTGGTGAACTCCTCGGCACAGATGTGTTAGTTTTGAAGTCTGAAGTGTGTTTAAACCAAGGCTTGGGAGTCTTCAGTGTAAACAGTACCTGATTAATAATGCCAAGCTGTTTAAATATTTAAGATCATAGTGTGCTTCAGCCCAGTCAATAAGGCTCTTCCATATTGACAAGTATGCTGCGAAAGGAATGCTCTTTCTTAGCTGTCTGTATAGTTAGATAAAACAATGGAAAACATGATATGTAACTCTGCAGTGGGACCTACAGATTGTGATAAGACATTCTTTTATCTATAAAGGTTCAGCTTTTCACTATTTATTCAAAACAACCTCCTATTGAGTCAAGAAGCCAGTGTTAACCACCTGGGTTTCTTTTCTCTGCCTCTGAATATTTATTTCTCTGAGTATTAATTAAGAATTAGAAAGTATTTTAAGTATGTTGTGGAGAAGGTAGATGAAACCTGAAAACTTCATTGCGTCTAACAGGTGCACTATTAATCATTTCAACTTGTGCCATAATTTAACAAAATCGATGTGATAATTTATGGATACTAATTATATGGGGCTGTGCATAGAATAGGTCACTGTACAACATCAGAAGGCATTTGGACTTTATTTTCAGTTTGAGAGCAGCGTATATGCCAAGAGATGCATCCTGCTGGCATTCTGTGGCAAAGGGTATCAGCTGGAAAGAGAAAGATACTATATAGTGAGATATACTAGCGCAAAGGACCTAGAAAACAGAAAACTAACTTGCAGGTGCAGCATATTTTTTATATTTGTTTGATACTACCATTTGTATGGATACATTTTGGGCATTTGTTTAGTTGATGACTGTCCTGAGTTTTGAATAGAAATTACAACGCAAGTGACCAGAGTTGCTAAAGAGTTTGATACTGAAGTCTGTGAAAGTTACTTATTTGAATTTCAAAGTACTGTGAAATTCTTTTGGGTGTTTAAAACTAGCTGTCAGACTATATAAATCCAGAATTGGGTAAGTATTGTATTCTGAGAATATTGAACTCAAAGAAGCAAAATCAGAAAGCTGCTTTATGTTGATGGAACTTGGGATCCATTGAATGGATTCACATTCTGGGTTGTGCAACGGCGATGTAGCGAAGGGAAGCTGTACAGCTGTGCGACCACATTGGATGATGGAGTAGTGTGTACCAGCTGGTGTTAATGATAGAGCTAAAACCCTCTTCACAATTCGCAGAATAAATCCTCAATTAATCATACTGGTATTGGTATCTTACTATAATTACTGGCCACAGTAAAAATACTCAAAAGTAATAATGTTCAAGGTGAATGAGATCAACAGAATCTGAGCCGTAGTGATCATTCATTATCTTCTTGCAGAAAGCGTAATATTTGTCACATATACCACAACTTGTTTCATAAGGAGTGCTGTAATTAGAAATTTAGGCTTTTTAAAATGGTTATAATTTTCAGTAAATGAAATAACAAATCCAGTGGATGCTTACTGATACCTCCTGTTAGCTTGTTGTGCTTTGGTGTTTCTCTGGTGCGCAAAAAGGTGATGGCAGCTTTAGTAACCAAATTATAGTTTCTTGGGGTTAATGAGATGTCTCTCTAACTGACAGATTTTATTGGTTTGAGGATTCCGATTTGAAGTCAGGAAAAAGTGATGCTAGTCTCCCCATTCTTCCTGCTGTAGGGAAATGACTCTCCATGGTATCTGGACATAAAACACACTGAATACACTAAGGCTTTGGGGTTTTGTTAAGAGATTATTGCACAGCTCAAATAGCTCAATCAGCCTAAAAATTAAATCTGTTTTGCCTGCGGCTGTGGAATTGTTGTTAGTCTGTAGTTTTATTCAGTTGTCCCAAATCACCTTGAATTGCGATTGCTTACCTTCCGTTATACTGGAATAGTAAAATTGTGTTCAGTTTTCACTGGATATGTTCATTTTGTTATGTTTTATGAACAGAATTGGTAAAATGGGAAGCCATACAGAGAAAGTCAGTCTTGGTAATGTAAGCTGAGGGAATAATGTAGGAGGCTGTCTGCTGGGCAATATGCAATGAATTTGATTTTGCCTTCCTGAGTGGGCTGATAGTATTCAAAAAATTCAGTTATACTTTCTCTGCAGTGATAATTTGTTGCATTTTAAATTGGTGAGTGTGTGTATTGCCTATTCAGTTTAGTATTAATGACTTTGTAACTTACACGTTTATTAATATTGTCTTGTAAATATAATACTAAGGGAATTTGTAAAGAGTTAATCTTCAATAATAAGATTAACACGATGCACCATAAGTTTTGTCCTACTGGTTGTTAACCAGGAAAGGCTAGTTGCAAGCTCGCTATATTGCTTTCTTCCGAGCTACTGGAGGCTAGCTGAGCTTTCAGTTATTTACCTCAATAGAAAACTGAAAGGGAAAAAGTGAACAAAGGAGGTCTGTTTTGCCTGTCCCACTTGCTGGGCTGTTGTCTTTGCCCTTTTCAGTGAAGGAGGGGGTAGAGCTGGGTCAAAGTTGAAGAACACTGAAAAGGAATTCAAGTCTTATATTGAAATGTGAATGATAGCTTAGTTTGAGCACCAAATGCATTTGTTTGAATTAATTTTTTCTGTCTGTGGAAGCTTTAACTGACAGATGGTGATGGACTGGCATATAGACTGCTAGAAGGTACAGCTAGATATGTGTTCAGGCCCCGATTAAGATGCTCAGTAAATAAGTACATATCTTATGAGACTTTTAATACTAGAGATACTGATGCTAGACACTGTGTGACACACTAGATATTTGATTATGTGAATCAAGGGCAGGCCCCTGCAGCTGGCATACATTCAGACTTACTTGTCTCGCCTAATTGCATTGCAAATACTCCTCTGGATTGCTCTTTAGATTCTCCCTTCTAGTAAATGTTGAATAAGTACAGAAATGTTCATCTGGATCCTCTATTAACTGTTGTAAGAAGCTTTCAATTTTTTTTGTTTTGCTGTGTGAATCAGGATAAATGTATCTTAGTATTCATTTTGTGAATACACTGTTTTCCTACACTGTTTTGGTTCTGAAATGGCTCAATTCATAATGTGATTACAGCTTTCCCCTTGTTAACTTTTTAGTATGGAAGCATAACAGCTTGAATTATAAAATGTTTCTGTAAGAGCTCACAGTACCCCCATTCTACTTTAAGCAACCAAACTTTATATAAAAAGCAGCATTTCATGCAGAGCATCTCAGATGCACAAAAATAGCCAAGCAAAGAAAAAAAGACCAGTTCAACTTATTAGGACGTGATAACTTTAAAAAACAGCTGCATTAGAAAGGAACTAGCTGTCTAATTTGTCAATTAAATCAGACAGAATCAGTACGAATGTAGTCTCTCTAAATTCTGCAAATACTCATATAAGACTGCTGAATTTGGATGCATCCCAGTGGGAATACAGTTGTCTTAATGTTTTGTCTGCACTGTTAGGTTTATATGATCTTTTAATTTCCTCTAGTTTAAAGTATGTAAATTCTTACAGTTTAACAGCTTGTTTGTGGAAGACAAAAGTTGATCCATGACTTCCTGGAGTGTGAATTAGTCTTTGGCCACTAATTAGGCTTTTTCAGAGAGCCACCCAAAATATTACCATACCATTTTCCTAAATGAGGAAAATGGTATGGTAATACCAATGGTATAGTAATACCAATACCTAAGTGAGGAGCTGCCAATGTTTATACGTGAGTATGGATTTTCTGTGTCTTTCTGAAATATGCTTCTCACTTCTGACTTCCCATTTTCTGCTTTTTCAGTGTTGCTGTTTGTCCTTAATGGTTCTGAGGGTCCATGTAAAGGAGTTGCCTTTACAATATCACAACACTGTAGAGCTCCCTGTGTGTGTCTGTGTGTATGCAAAGGCGTTGTATGTAATCAATTAGTGCAAAGGCCAGCTGTTGTACAAAATTTGGAGTCAGGCAACAGTTCTGCTGGTGGAAACTAATACCGCAGAGTCAACCGACTGGTGCATAGGCACTGGCCAAGCAAAGTCTTGCTCAATATTGTAGCATGGGTGGGGTATCAGAAATGAACAAAATTCAGAGAAAGAGGTTGAAGATAATGAATTATGAAAAAACATATCCATGGGGAGGACTACTCTATGAGGAGAAGGATGAAGAACAAAATGTGTTACTGAGTTTTGCATTGGAAAGAACTGGTAGAAATGAGGGGGTTGGGACTAAAATTCACTGGAAATCTTAGAAAAGGCAACAGTCTTGGGAG